TCCCACTCCCCCTGCTTGTGTTCCTGCTCTAACTGTGTCTCTCTCTGTCAACTAAATAAATAAAATATATAAAAAAAAGGCGTATGAATTAGAAAGAAAGTACTAAGATAGTTCCTATTTATAAGTGACAATTGTGTAGAAACCCCAGGGACTCTACAAAAAAAGCTCCTAGAACTGATCAGTGAGTTCAGCAAGTTTGCAGACAGAAGACCAACACGACAAAAATCAATGACATCTGTATAGACTAACAATGAATGTGTGGAAACCAAAATTGAAACCACAGTAACATTTAAAATTTGTCCAAAGAAAATGAAATATTTAGGCATAAATCTAAAAAATTTACACAGGACTTATATTTTGAAAATTTCAAAATGCTGATTTAAGAAAGCCTAAAGAAATGGAGAGACAGACTGTGTTTGTGGACTGGAAGACTCGACAGAGTAAAGATGTCAGTTCTCCTCAAATTGATGGTTTAATGAAATTCCAATAAAAATGTCAGTAAAGTTTTTTTAGACATAATTTTTTTACTAAAATTTATATGGAAAGTCGCAGCACCTAGAGTAGCTAAAATAATTTTACAATAAAGTGGGAGGGATATAGAAAGAACTCTCAGATCTCAAAGGTAAAAAAAATCCAATTAAAAAATGAGCTGCAGACATTTCATTGAAGAGGATAAACAGATGGCAAACCAGCATATGAAAAGATATTTAACATCATTAGCCATTAGGAAATGCAAATTAAAACAATAATGAGATATCAAAATGGCTAAAATAAAAAACAGTGATAACACCAAATGCAGGCAGGAATTTGGAAAAACTGTTCATTCATACTTTGCTGATACAAGTATAAAATGGTACAGCCACTCTGGAAAAGAATTCAACAGTTTCTTATTAAGCTAAACGCACAATTGCTATACGATCCAGCATTTGCACTCTTGGGCATTTATCCCAGAGAAAAGAAAACTTACAGTCACACAAAACCTATACGTGAATATGCATAGCAGCTTCATTTGTAACAGCCCCAAAATGAAAACAACCCAGATGTTCTTCAAGGGACGAATGGTGAAATTTCCTCTATTTATACCATGAATACTACTTAGCAATAAAAAGAAATGAAGTATTGATACATGAATAGATCTCAAGGGAATTTTTAAAAAGGCAATCTCAAAATGTCATCTACCATATGATTCCATTTATATAATGTCCTTGAAATGATGAAATTTTATAGAGATGAGAAACAGGTTTTTGGTTGCCAGAGTTAGGGAGGGGGCAGGGAGGAAGCAGCTATGGCCATGAAAAGCGTGGCAGGAGGGATCCTGGTCATAGCACTGTGTTGTATCTTGACTGCAGGGGTAATGAAAGTGCATAAAAGTAAATACACACAGGCCCAAATGAGCATATATGTAAAACAGATCGTCTGAATAAGGTTAGTGGATGTTACCAATGTTAACTTTGTGGTTGGGATATGTTTTCAGTTACACCAGAGGTTACACTGGGGGGCACTAGGTGTAGGGTGCAGGGTATTTCTATTAGTTCTTCCAAACTGTACATGAACCTACATGATCTCAACATAAAAAGTGTTTGTTTGCTTTTTAAACAGTACTTATAAAAGCTGTGGCTTTTGTTTGCAAGGTCCAGGCTTTGATCACAGACAAAAGAATTTGCCTCTGGCACCAGGAGGACTTGGAGGAGTCTGGAAAATCCCCCCACCGCCCTTTAAGAGGGCCAGGGTAGTTATCTACTAATGAAGAGTTAGCCGGCCCACCAGGGATCACCAAGGACAGGGCAGCCTGTAGGAGAGGGGCCAGTGGGAGCCAACGAGGGCTGAAGGGGAGGTGAGGTCAGCTAAGCCCCCCTGTTCCTGGGCAGGCCGGGCAGACCACACATACACCACGCACGGGCAATTCACGGTGGCCTGCGCCTGGTGACCAACTAGCAGAAGACCACAACAGGAGACCAGCGGGTGTCCACGGCCTCCCAGAAGCCCAGGGGAGCCCTCCCCAACACCCACCCACACCCAGGGAGAAGGCCAGGAGAAAGGGCAGTGGGGAGATTGTGATTTCATTTGAATCTTGAAAATATCGAATGAAAATGATAGGCATGAACAAGGTGAGTCCAATTAAAAGAAAATTATGAAAGTTTCCGGCACACAAGTCTTTATGCCAAAAGGTTATTACATAAATGACAAAAAAAAGTGAACATTGAGGCCCTAGGGCATTTATACGCTTACTTTGGGGAGAAAGAACAGGTCCGTGGGGCACTGCTGTGTTCACTTGGAATCAACGGGCCTTCTCTAAATAATTTAGGAAACAACTCCTGACTGTCAACCGCACCGTTTGAAGTTGTCCCCAAATATGTTATAATGAATGCTTTGGGGTCGTATTTGCTTTTCTTAAACTAACCAATTAGAAGTGCGCACGAGTGGAATCAATCAGGTGGTAAGAGCGCAGTAATTACCCACGTTAGCACCTTTCTTTGGCAACTGAGCTGCTTGATTCAGTTAATTATTTCCTAATGAGTAACGTTTCACCTGGGCTCTGGTCTCCTGGCTTGTCCTCTCAGCAGCGGGCTCTGTGGCACACTGCTGCTCACCTGCTTGGACACCTTGGCCCAGGTTTTCTTCAGCCTGTAGATGGCACTTCTGTTTAAGGCTGAGGTGATCTCCAGGACGCCATTGTAGTTGTGCAGGCATCGGCAAATGTCCGCCACGGCCACCCACTTCTCTATCGCGACGGTGCGGGAGCTGACGTCGGCATAATTCATTATCTGGGACGCCACCAGGTTACTCATCTGAGACAACGGAAAAGCCAAGAGAGGCCAGCTAAGAGCCAAAGAAATGCATTCAGGCACAGCGCCTGGATCACCCATAGAAGTGTTGGGAAAACAGGGTGCCAAGGGACATGGAGATCAAAGTCCACATTTAGAGACCAACCTTCCGAGAGGACTACAGTGTGTAGTAATAATAATAGCAACAAGAAACCAATGGCAACCTGTTCATCCTCCGAGTGAACAGAGGGATTGTTTGGAATCAACATGTTGAGGGAACAGGTCATTTTTTTTAATCAGTAATTTTGATGAAGGAGTTATTTCCAGTAACTACTGAGGAAATGGAAAAGAATGAGTAATTCCTGAAGAATGGCAACCTTTGCTGATGATGGGTTTCACTCCTTGGGGCCTCTCCACATGCTCCTTCGCCCCTCACAGGTGGGGACCAGGAAACCCCAGGTAGCACAGAGAAAGAAAAGACATTTACCCCCAATCAAATCAAACTCTAACCTGATCAGCCCTCAACCCAGACACATTTAGGGACAGGGGAGGAGAGAACATTTATTCCTTCTTATCTCGCTGGATTTTTTCCCACCAGAGTGAACAGGACCTATAGTGTTTCAAGGGTAAGAACTGTAATGCTATTAGTTGAAACCAAGAGAAAAAGAGGCAGTTGGCGCAGCTCAATGCTTAGAATATAGAAAGGAAAAGGACAGTTTAGGATTACTAACAAAGGGAATGCAAGTCTGTAATCTTACATCCATACACTTAATCTAGTGAGTGTACCAATTCTCTGACTATTCCACAGGTATTTTAGATCTCACAGTGTCTCAGAATTATCATTGTACATAGTCATTAAAAAATTACTTTGTACTGAGCACCTAGAATGGACGTGGCATTCGTTTAGGTTGTAAGAACAGGAAAAACAAATAACTCAGCATCCCCGACCTCAAGGCACTGAGCCTAGTTAGGCAGAAAGGTGAAGGGAGGCAGAGACAAGTAAATATCACATAGTGAAAGGCAAAGCTGAGTCTGTATGGAGGGGTTTGAGGACATGGAGGTAGCAGGGGGTTATCTGGCCTAGTAGAGAGGAGGCTTCCAGAAAGAGGTCATCCTGCTATGAGTCCTAAAGGATGAGAAGGAGTTAGCCACTGCTTTCCATCGAAGGAGGAGAACATTTGAAAAGGGACAGAGGTAGAAGGCCTGGTGTAACAGAGGATGTGGCAGTCATCTGAGGAGCCCAGGGAAGCCACGAGAGAGACACAGATGCCCAGTAGGCAGGGCTCTTGTAGGCCACGTTGAGCAGCTGGGACTGGATCTTAAAGGTGAGAGGAAGCCGCTGACAGAATTTTGTCATGAAAGTGATATAATTAGATTGGTCTTTCAGAAAAGTTATTTCTGTGACACTGTGTAAAGAATGGGTTTGGGGGCAAGGAGAGGACAGTGGGGATGGTGAGGTAGGAGCTCCCCGAGAAAAGGATGAAAGGTCAAATCAAGGTTATGGCAGTAGGAAAGTAAGGGAAAAAAAGGTCTGGGACATATGTAGATTTATATATCGGGGAGTGAGGTGGGGTGGGTGACAGACGAGTCAAAGATTACCTCTAGATTCTCTGTCTGGGTGAGTGAGCAGTCTGGGCCACTACGCAAGACTAAGAACATGGCATAAGATGAAGGAGGCTTGGCAGGTCTGGGGAGTACTAACGATAAGAAACTCCATTTGCAATCCGTTGAAGAACGCACAGTGCAAGCAGCCATCTGAGTGGAGACGTGAGGGTCTGGAACCTGGGATGGAACCACTCATTTGATTGCTCATTATACCCAAGTGTGTGCATGGCACAGACGACAGAAGCTGATTTTCTACAGCAGGGGCTCTGCTTCTCAGGGGTCATGTGGCCTGTCCTCTAGGCAGCAGTGGCATGGATGCTCCTCATGCGATAACCTTCATGAGTATATATGTACTCTGCAGGTACCCTGCACAAAGCACTGTCTTGGGAATCTACACTGCTGTTTTGTACTGTGAGGCTGAATGACTTATTAATTTACCTACAGGGAGCCTCATAGTCTTCTTTTTCTTTTTTAATGTCATCATTATTCCTTTTATTGTCTTTTAGTAGAACTGCCTAGATAGGCCTGAAGATGCTCCCACATATGTGGTTCCGCCAAAGGATGAAAATCATTAGAACAAAACCAATTAGGAGTTGGTGGGTATAAAAGCAGCTCCTCGTCTTACTGCTGGAGAAAAGCAGAGCAGGGAGATGCACCAACAGCTGGTCACCATTGTGCACAGCTGCAGGAACACTGTAATTATGCTCAAAGGGGTCCCTTCCAACCCTGGAGCGCATATGCGCTGAATGTTCAGTAATAATGAGGATGATTTGTACTAACCCAACCTTACTGTCAGCAACACCACCGGGGACCAGTGACACAAGGGCTATTACAGCTCGTCAGTGTATGACCACGAAGTAATGATGATTATGATAACAATAATAGCCGCAATCTATGCATTATTGAGGACTTACCAGACTTGGGTACCATCAGAAGGGAATCTCTTATGTCTGGAAGTTAACTGGAAGTTATTACATCACTATGAGCTCTTAGAGAAGATTTAAGCTTTTTTTTTTTTTTTAAACTTTCATCAGTTTTGTGTAAAAAGTGGGGGGCAGACTTGCTTCATTTTAGAGAAGGAGTCTTAAGACCCTGATACTCAGCTCCCTATAACATGCCCAGGTTTTATTTTTATGGTTACTCACATCATTGAAGTGTTGGCTGGTTTTCATAATGTAAGGTGTTCTTTCATTTTTATCCAGCTTCATCCACCCCTGCCCAAGAAATTCTCTGTAAGTTCAAAACAGAAGAGAAAACCAATTAAGTTTTTTAAATGGTGGCTATGATCCTGAACAATGAGTATGAATATTATTTACATTAAATTTGACCATCTCAAATGAATTTTGGCTCATCTCCAGTATTTTGCCACTTGAGGCCAAAAAGAAAAAGATTTTTCAATTTCCACCTTTCTCTTATAAATGTTTGGAACTTTGTCCTTATTAGGATCACGATAAAGGCTTCTCTGAAATGGGAACACGATGACCAACACAAGAAGAATAAAGACGTTAAGTACTAACTCAGGAACCAAATTATTTTCCCTGGATCAGCTTAAAAAAATTTTAAGCCTTAGCAGAAGGGCTGAAAAATCCATCACTACCAAAAATGTTAATCACAAACAACATGTGTTCCTCCACTTTGCTCTGATATTCTCTAAGACGATGTCAAATTCACGAGCAGGGATTTTCCTTTGCTCTCCCCAGAGCCCAGAACAGGACACATGAGGAAGGCATGTAACACTGTTGTTACCACTTCATATGGGGAAGGCATTTACAGTGGTAGGAGCTCAGCCTGCTGGAAGGTCTGTCTTCTGAATAACATCCCTGCTCCCTCACTTCACTCATGAGCAGCCCACCAGATCACAGCAAGCAATGGACAGACAAGTTGGTGCATAAAGGAACTATTTTGTATAGGCATGACAAAAAATAACCTGAAATGAAATTACTCTGACACAGTCTTAATCCAGAAATGTTGAGTGAGTCCCTGCAAGAGGTTTTTTGTTCCTCCAAGTTCCTGCAAGGCTGTTGGGTATAAAGGTGTGGCAGTTCCACAGATGAAAATAATGGGTTGATATCCAAGCCAGCAGGGAGGAGAGGAGAGGAAGGGAGAATCCCAAGAAGAGACTGACCATAAGGGTTTGGCCTTTGCTCTTTCTCTTCCTCCAAGGAGGTCATGTTCATCTCCCCCACTGAATCCCCACTGCACTAGGCACTGTGGTTTTGTTTTGTTTTGTTTTTTTCCTTAGAGGGAGAGAGAGAGAGAGAGAGAGTGCAAGTTGGGGAGGGGCAGAGGGAGAAAGAGAGAGAATCTCAAGCAGGCTCCACGCCCAGTGTGGAGCCTGGAGTGAGGGTTGATCTCATGACCCTGAGATCATGACCTGAGCCAAAATCAAGAGTTGGACATTTAGCTGACAGAGCCCCTCCAGGTGCCCCATGGTACTGTGGTTTCTAACTCAAGTCTTCAAGTAGTCACTGGGTTCATTTGGATGGCCAATAGGCCACATTTCTTCCCCGCCAACCTTGTTCATGGGTAGAGACGGGGAGGGTGAGAAGATACAATGCTAACAGAAATGCCAGCAGGGGCATCTTCTGGCCCTGCCCCTTACGCCTCTCTAACGTAGCTGTAGCTCTGACCACCCACTGCCACGCCTGACCCCTCCATCATCATGATGGCCTCTTCTCTACCTACGACATGGGTCACATTTGTACCTCTTGCCCAGCCCCTCCTTTACCCCCGATTTAGCTCTTTCGAGGACATGGGCCAACAGTTGTCATTTGTCCAAACAAAGGTCTTGCTTGTGGAGCTCCTGATTATTGCAGCGGGAAGGGGCTAGCGTGCTCCCTCATGCTCTACATGAGAAGGTTGAAGCGGTGATAGGGACGCTCCTCACGGGGCAGCTTGATGCAGCGCAGCTCAGCTCCGCACACACCGGGGGAAAGCTCCTTCTCGGGAATCTATCTACATGTTGTAGAGTCTCAAAGCCCAGCAATACTTCTTGACTCATGGAAGAGGGTGAGTACTTGTAGCAGAACTTACAGATTTTACCCATCCTCAGTGCTTCTCAAAGTATAGTCTTAGATCACGCAGTAGTGTCTGGGATTCTCATGGAAAATGCCATTTCCTGGGCCTCAAACCTACTAGAATCCAAATCTCTGGAGGGGATACCTAGGAATGTACATTTTTAACAAGTTTCCCGAAGGATTTTAGGCACCATGCAGTTTGAGAACCATGGTTGCTGCCGTATGGAGGTTCCTATGATGCGAGGATGTGAGAGTACAAAGAAATTCACATTCCGGGGGAACCGGTGAACATAAAGAAACACAAGAGTGACCATCCTGAGAGTCCCCGGTGTTTCCAAATCAACATTTCTAACATAAACTGGGACCAAAAGGCATTGACATCGGACCAAACCATCATAAGATTAAGACTCACACCTCTGTGCACACACATCTGCCTTAGGAATAATGGCAGTGCTAAGCCCACAGGTCCTGCCTGAGGGGGCCTGCAGCTGTGAGGGCCGCACTCACTCGTAGGGAATGCTTCTGAAGACGATGTGGTCCAGGAGGGTGATCTGCTCGGCCAGCTCCATGGCTGACAAGGTCTCAAAGCACTCAGCCTTCGGACAGTCTGTCTGCAAGAGAGGAAGGGGGGAATGACACGCACTGACAGCAGGTGCCCGCAGCCGCTCAAGGACAACGTCCATTAGAGATTCTAGCTACCAAGAAAATGGCAGAAAGCTCAGAAATATCAGCCAACATTAACAGCCTGGACCAACTGCCAACCCCTGAGTCGAATTTAGGTCATCGCACCAGGCTTCAAAAGAACTGCGGTCGAGCACCCGGTTATCAGTTACGGGCATAATACCGCTCGCCTTTGAGAAGTAGTTTGCACATAACTCTGCTGGATGAGACCATGGCTGCACTTACCAGTTGAATTATATCCTCTAATTTTAGGTGGATGTCATCTTGATCGTCTTGTGAAAGGGCCCTAAAAAAGAAAAATCAAAATATCCTCCATGAAAAGAAAACAGACATGCCAGGAATGAAAGGACCACGTGCAGTTTGGATTTCCCTGGCTGGGAAGCTGGAGGGTTTGGGTCCACCAGGCTGTGCCTCCCACTGGAGAGGCTACAGAGACGTGAGCTGGAGGTGGGAAGTCGAAGAAACAGGAAAACACGCACATTAAAGGCACAGGAGGATCATCGGGAGAGCTGGCTTATCCCAGGGAGCCAACTTGTTCCATACAAGGTGGTAAATAAAACACCCACCATTAAAGCGAGCCTGAGGGGGAGCTGGTGTGCTCTGGGCCCGTGAGAGGATCTGGGCCGTGAGTTCGGGCATCCCGCAATACCATCAGTTGGGGATCCTAACAGGCCTGAGCGCCCCATCCACATTCCTCCAGCCCCCACCCTGGCCCTGCCCTGCTGATGCTGAGGCAGAAGATGCAGAGCCTCTCCCTCCTTGCACACACACAGACCAGAAGCTCAGGGGAGTTCCTGGGGGGCAAGAATTTGAACGATGCCAGGCAGAAGCCAGCAGGTAAACTCTTCTCCCTTGATTCCCAGATGGCCTTTCCTGAGACACATTTGGTGCCATAGCCACACACACACACACAGCTATTCAGCTCTCAATGCTTTTTTTCCAGTGGTGATTGACTGAATAAATACATAAGTTAATTAATCCTGAAGTGGGTGCTGGTTTCAGAGTGGGAGTGATATTCCATGTCCAACAGAAGTTCAGAGTCCAGGAGAATGATACGGATTATATAACTTACCATCTGGGCCAAGCATTTTAAGTTTTCCAAAATGAAGGCACAATCACATTTTAAAAGTACCAAAAGTCCCAAGCCACACAGCCTATCTGCTGGAGGAAGGTAGTTTTCAAAGAAATAATGACGTGATGTTCCGCGGTGCTCTGAATTGATGAAAACAAAACCACCTGCCCTCAAAAAGAGGAAATCAACAGAGATGGGTTAGTGAATACCCATGTGTGTACACAGCCATGTGTGAGCCATCTGACATACACTCTCTTGTATCATCAAAAATCCCTTCAGAGTAAGCATTCTGATCTCCATCTTACAGATGAGGACACCAAAGCTCAAAGGAACTAACCTGCCCAGGGTTCGGTCACTTAAGCTGCCCCGTTGCCCTCGCTTGTCTCAGGCAGGTGTTAAAGGCACCTCTTCAAGGAGCCAGCACAAAACACATCCAAAAAAGTCCAGTCTCTTCCCTCTATCTTCCTCTCTTACAAAAGCTCCCTCCTGTTTACCAGGATAAAGATTCCTTCTAGATTCAAGGAGTGACTGCCCTCTTGTTAGCAATGAACCGTATCATTTGTGAGTGGAAAGAAATATTCATCAGATGATCTAAGGCAGATTAAGGTGAGGAAAAAATAAGCAAATACAAGTTTTTCTCCAAAGACTGTTAAAATCACACTTAAGGATTACACACAGGGGATAAAAGGGACTCTTTCCCAAAGCTCATGTCATTCTTTCCAGGGTAGTCTAGGTTCCTGGAGAGAGCTCAGTGGCCACATAACTATGTGTACCCAAGGAAAAGATTTTTTTTTTTTTTTTTAAATGACGCTGGGCAATAGTTTTTCCCTGGAAAGAAGTGGTCAAGAAGTTAGTTAGCTTTTATCAAATGTTCCTTTCCTCAGTCATCTCACACTAGTGTTCCAAGATGTGTTCTGGTCTTGTTAAATTATCTAATGTTTTCTCTTTTCCCAAATGCCTGTTGATGCTTCTTGGGGCCTTGTGAGGTTTGTGGGTCACCTTTTTATGACTCGAACCCACTCCAGCTGCCTACCCATGAAGTCATTGTTTGTTTGTTTGTTTTCATTTTATGGCATGTTAGTTGTTTACCAAGATTTATGTCTACATAGATTCAGAAGCCAGCTAGTCAGACAACGTTGGGGAGGAAGTGGTATTTTAGAAACAGAAAAGTCTTGGGGCGCCTGGGTGGTTCAGTCGTTAGGTGTCTGCCTTTGGCTTGGATCATGATCCCAGGGTCCTGGGATTGAGCCCCGCATCGAGCCCCACATCGAGCTCTGCGTCGGGCTCCCTGCTCAGCAGGAAGCCTGCTTCTCCCTCTCCCACTCCCTGTCTCTCTCTGTCAAATAAATAAATAAAATCTTAAAAAAAAAAAAGAAATAGAAAAGTCTTGAGCAGAGGTTTTTAGTCACAAACAACAAACTATGCATGCTAATTAAATTTCTTCATCATAAAGCTAT